AAATAATTTTGATAGATTTTGATGCTAGTAAGATTTTTATAGAGTTGGAAAATTGGAATTCCTTTCCTTTTAATGTCCATTTTCATCAATTTAGACAAATATTTCTATATCAAGAGCCTCTCAGTGATCTAGTCAGTCATCAGATTGGACCATTGAACCTGGTGCCCCTCCAGACAGATGCAGTAGGCATTGGAATAGACAGAAGACAGAGGGGAAGGATCCATCAGGATGTTCAGTGTTTGGTTTTACATGGTCAGAATCTTCTCAGAGATGTTGATACTTATGCTCTTCTCATTGTTCATGTTTATTTATATTGTGTTTCCCTACTCAGTACTCCCATCCGCATGGTCACTATTATGTAAGTCAATGTGCCAAATAAAAGTCCTCATATCATAACACAGTTCTTCTTAAAACCTGACATATTTTGTAGAATACTCTGTAGTCCATAACTCAATATGTTTAAAAACATGAGGAAAAAAACAGCTTTTCCATGCATATATTTGTAATAAGCTGACACATACTCATGTCTGTTTTTATTCTGAATTAGCAGCACCTTCTATTCATGTGTAGCTCTAATAATAATAATGAATAAAGAGCTCTTTCATGCACTCACATTCATTGTAGACAAGGAGGCCATTGACTGATTTATGGCTCGTTCATTTCACTCAGGAGTGACAGATACCAGCTTATGGTGAATTGCATTTTAACAAGAGACAGAACTTCAACAATGGAATGGAAACAATATGCATCTTATTATCCTGCCTGGTGAGATTCAAACATCCCCTACCTCCAGATTTAGATCTATAAAGGCAAGAGCTACTTGGCTGTCTATTTAACAATTATTTCTGCTTTTCTTCTATCTTTGGAAAAGGAATAGGATGCTGGCTGAGTTTCCAAAGTCTCGGGAGCCTCCTGATGTGACAGCAGGTCACCCAGTCAGGGCCCATCATATGCCTGCAGGACCACTGTGGGGCCGCAGGATGTGTTTCCAAATGTAGTTTAGCTCCCCAACTAAAATGACCTGTAATATGTGGTGAGTTAGAGAAACACATACACTACGTACCAGGCACAAATTCTTCCCTTGTTTTCCCAGCAGAAAAAAATATAGTTGAGCATTTCTATCTAAAAGGCTCTTTGTCACCCTATCATAAAGTGGGTTTGCAGTGGTTTGGAAAGACATTGGAGGTTCTCCATGGAAAGAGGAAGCCGTGGGCTAATCTACTTGGCATGATTCAGTACTCCTCCCATATGAGATATCTGGGTGAAATTGTTCAGTGGCTGGACAGTGAAAATGACGAACACAGAGAGAGGCTCTCATGGTCCCTGGAGGGCACTCCCGGGCTCTGGTGGGCATCATTGGAAACGTCATCTCTGGAGTTGGGGCAAACGCTTCCCAGCAATATTCTTGTTGAATAAGCCTTTGGATTGTTGGCTTCTTCTTCCTGCTCTTCTTTCTGTGGCATCCTTGATGTCTCTAATAGCTCCAGAGTAAACACTCATCCGGGCATCTGTCTTCCCCTCTGGTCTGTTCCCAAGCCCTCCTCACCTTGGTTCTGAGTAAATCCACTCACCACTTTGGTTTCTAAAGCATTGCCCAGAATTCCAAGTCCTGTTCTTGAATGTTGTTGTTAATGTAACTGATTGTTCTCTTGCAGTCCATTATTTTCTTCAGTGTAGTATAAGGGTACGTGTGTAGGCTGTGAGGTCAGATGGTCTGGATTTGGGACATAACCCAACCACCATTGCTGGTTGTGTGAACTTGGACAGGTTCCTTAACCTCCAGGATTTAGTGTCTTCATCTATGAAATGGGAGGAGTCACACAGTATCTCCCTCTATAATTCCTGTGCATTTACTGAGCTTATGAAGGGGGAGCACCCAGCTCAGAGCCTCACGCAAGAGTTTCGCACTCGACAGGGTTTTTAAACTATAGGCCAGCCTTGAGCTGGAAGAAACCAAGGCAGATCTTTTTACTTTTTCAGCTCCTCGACTTCCTACTCAAGACTTCCTAGATACTGTTTACTATGTGGTTTGCATGCTGTTTGTCCCCAAGTTAATAGCAGAAGTAGGTAGTCATGAGGGTGTTTGATAAACCTTGTGGACTCTGCCCCATACCTCATCCACATGTGCTGGGACCTGTAGCTAGACACGCCTGTCCTGCATCTTCTTTCTTTGTTTTCTTCATTTTAGATAAGGTTTGTTGTTGTTGATGATGGTGGTTTTTTGTTTGTTTTCAGTACAAGGACCAAACTGCAGTCTGGTTATAAGAGCCTAGCTGCAGAACCTGCTCTGATATGATTTAGCCTTCTCTTCAGAATTAGACATACATGTGAATATTAGCTTCAGAAACGAAATACAGTTTTGTAATTGTTTCACACCTTTGCTTTTGGGATCTGCTTCAGTGAGTAATTCTCTTTGTGAGACTCACAGTGAACACAGGTTCAAAAATCCCCCAATATTTTGCTTTACTTTCCAAAAACACAAGCCGGAGATGTGTAACCTCCTGTTTTTGTGAGCGTCTTTCCAGGATATTAAAGCGTACTGTACAGTAAATATTTCTAACTTCCATCTCATACCTGTTAATGCAATCCAGGGTGTTTTGGGTTTCTTTTTAATATCCATTTCAAGTTAAAGCAAGTGATCGGACACTATGTTTGACAGTTTATAAATTAAAATCAGTTCTTATGAAATCCTCTATTACCTAATGTACTTAACATGACTTAAGAACAATATCATGGGCTGAAGAGAAAAGTACATGACATATACAATGGAGAATATTTGTTACATTTTTAGAATGTGAAGTTGAATTAAATTGAAGCATTTTGTGACGACAGCAAACATTGATTGAAATTCAGTTGTATTTGACTGAAAACTGGCTGTAGCCTTTCTGAACAGAATAGCAGGGTACTCAGTGCCACCTGCCTGTCAGCCTCTGAATCATTGTCTGCATTTCAGGTGAGCCTGTGGTGGGTGTTCCTCTTAACATTAATGGGTCATTTTGTAGCCAAACATATTTTTAGTTGTCCCGCCAATAGCATGTCTGTTGGTACAGTCTGATTGAATCTGGAATAATACAAGGCCAGTTGAATTGTCCTACAGAACTAATTGTCCCTGAAATATGTCCTTGTGGATATAGCTGTTGTGTATATCTTTCCATTAATTTTGAACGCCAAAGGATATTGTCCTATTATCCTAATTGCACCATAAATTAAGACATTTGCTAATGGAGTGGAAAGCTCTTAGCAATAGAGAGAAGAGTAAGAATCAAACCTGGTTATTAAAGATCAGTATTAGGGCACACCTGTGTCTGAAAGGGTATCATCCTTATTATCAATAGACTCAAACAGGAAGTTGTGAAGATAACACTTCCAATGCTATGAATGGAATTCAGTTGACAATCTATAATAAATTCCCGAGTGCCTAATGAGAGTGGTGATTAAGTAAAAGTTTGCCATAATTTTTTTTCATTTCTAAGTTCCTAATTTTAATCTAATCATGAGGTCAGAAAGCTTCCAGACAATGACTCCATCTCAGTACACTTCCCTCCTTTAAATGGATGCCCCAGACACCCAGAAATAGGAAGATAAGAATTGATCATCACATTTACATGGTCACCATAGTAACAGGAGTTGCTAAAGCTGATTCGGGACACGAACCTTATAGTTTCAGTTTTCACAAGTGGAAAACGTTTTTAAAGTCCTTACTAAAAGCACATAACTTATGTCAAAGTCATGCTCGTGTATATAAGTAAAATCAAAGAATTTTGGTGTCTTCTACACGAACATGATACCAGACTCCTATATTCTGAATCACATTTCATGTTTTAATCTCATTTCCTCCCACTGTTTCTTTTTCTTTTCACATTCACATAACCTTTATTATAGTATATTGAAATAATTGTTCTATTTTATTGTTATAGTTGCTAGTCTCTCACTGTGTCTAATTTATTTTTCCTTTTTTTAAAATATAATAGTGTTTATTTATTTTTACTTGTTGACAGTTTGCTTTATTTATTTATTTATTTATGGCTGTGTTGGGTCTTCGTTTCTGTGCGAGGGCTTTCTCTAGTTGAGGCAAGCAGGGGCCACTCTTCATCGCGGTGCACGGGCCTCTCACTGTCGCGGCCTCTCTTGTTGCGGACCACAGGCTCCAGACGCGCAGGCTCAGTACTTGTGGCTCACGGGCCCAGTTGCTCCGCGGCATGTGGGATCTTCCCGGACCGGGGCTCGAACCCATGTCCCCTGCATTGGCAGGCGGATTCTCAACCACTGCGCCACTAGGGAAGCCCTATTTTTTCCTTTTTTTAATCTTCTATTTATTTATTTATTTATTTTCTTTTAAACATAGCAGTGTGTACATGTCAATCCCAAACTCCAAATCTATCCCTCCCCCACTGGTAACCACAGGTTCATTCTCCAAGTCTGTGAGTCTGTTTCGTTTTGTAAATCAGTTCATCTCCCACTGTTTCTGAAGATTATGTAAGAGTATACCAGTGAAGCACCATTTTTGCTGCCCATTTTTGGTGGTATTAATGTTATGTACCTAAGTGCTGCCTTAACTCCGGATGCTTATGTGTGATGTTTGGAATCACGCTGGCAATTCCCTGTCACTTAGAGCTCCTGTACTGAGTTCCACCCAGTGGCATAGATCACTAAGTTGCTCTTAGGGCTTCCTGTTTCTTCTATAAGAACCGTGGGTTTCCGCAGAAAATCAGGTCTCCTTGGAAGAAATACAGAGCAGGCAAGACACAAAGGAGTAGCACATGGACGTTGAGACTTTTCTTCTTTCCTGTTTTTTTGTTTTACCTTTTTACTTTATATTGGAGCATAGTTGATGAACAATGTGTTAGTTTCGGGTGTACAGCAAAGTGATTCAGTTCTCCATATACATGTATCTATTCTTTTTCAAATTCCTTTCCCATTTAGGTTGTTACATAATATCCAGCAGAATTTGCTGTGCTGCCCAGTAGGCTGAGACTTTTCTTCTTTCCTGTTGTTTCTAGAACCAAACTTCGTGTCATCTTATGACATCGGGAATTTCACCTACTTCTTTTTCCGCGAAAATGCTGTGGAGCATGACTGTGGGAAGACCGTGTTCTCCCGAGCTGCCCGCCTTTGCAAGAATGACATCGGGGGCCGGTTCCTGCTGGAGGACACGTGGACCACGTTTATGAAGGCCCGTCTCAACTGCTCCCGCCCTGGCGAGCTCCCTTTCTACTACAATGAGCTGCAGGGCACCTTCTTCCTGCCTGAGCTGGATCTGATCTACGGCATCTTTACCACCAATGTGTACGTAACTGGAAATCATTCCTTCCCTGCTTTTCTACTCCTTCTGAATGAGTCTACTGTTCTCTGACCTTTGAGGCTTACAAGTTGCTTTAAAAGTAATCTTTCTTCTTTTACTTGGCTAACAGCCAAAAGAAATTTTGAGTATGAATTAAATGTTACAAAAGGTGATGTGATTTCTGAGACTGGTATTAGGAAAATAAAGCTAATCAGAAAGTTTTGATCAATCCTTATGTCATGGTAGCATCAAATTGTTCTCTGTAAGTTTTTCCTTCCTGATTTACCAATGTGCTCTGGGCACTTTTTGAAATGCTAGATGTCGTTTTTTTTTTCCTATACACAAGTCATGTCACTGCATAACGAAAGCAGTGTTGTCTGGAGAGTTTGATCTTTGAGATAATGTAACTCTTACCTGGACCCCTGCTCATGTAGGAAATGCACCTCCTCATTTTCCCATAGCTGCATTGTAAACTATTGTTCTAGATGATGGCTAACTTAGGCATTTCTAGAATGATGATTCTACTTTTTAAATATTTTTGTAAAAAATTACAGTATTTGATTTCTTGTGGGAAGGTACTTCTGTTTGGACTAGGCAAAGCATATGAAGTTGCCTGTCTTTCATTCACTCTTTGTCTGGTGGAGTGTAGATTAACCCCATACTTAATGTCTGTTCTTAGCTGACTCCACAAGACCACACCCCACCCCTAGGAATCACAGAGGCTCTGAGCTCCACTTTTCTCAGCATTGGCTGTGGGCATGATGATACTGCAGTGTGGGTCCTGCTTTGCATCACCTTTGAAATCTCTTATCTGGTTACCTAATGGTTTGGACAAAAGCCAAATATCTGTATCCAAAGTAAAGAATATGTATCAGGATGGGTTAAATGCGCCGATCCATGGGGTGGGACGACCAACCATCCGGGTTTGTCCAGGACTGCACAGCTTTTAGCACCGAGGACTGCCCTGCATCCTGGGAAACCTCTCGGTCCTGGGCGAACCAGGACAGTCGGTCACCCTGTGATGTTTCCTCGGCTTCCCCAGTCTTGCTAACTTACTTTTTCATCTCTTCTGCAATCAGAAGCTTCCCTATGAATTGCATTTCTGAAGAATCACTTTATCTGCATCTTACTTCCTTGTTCCTCTCCCCTCCCATTCTTCCTACAGCTGAGCTGAAGTGTCAACGTTCGCTTGATAATGACATTTACTCGTGAAGGGTCTTCTTTGTGACATGAAGTTAGGAAAATTAGACTAAAATGGACGGCTCCCTCCCCGTCCCCAACCCCACTACGCCCATCTTTCCTGTAAATCTGGTTTTCAACCCCAGAGGTTATTTTCTCTCCTTAATAAGTTCCTTTTGAAAAAAATCAGTGTATAGTTTCTGAAGATGATTTGCCTTCCGAAACCTTGTTTAAGAAGTAGTATAGGCTGCACGAGATGGATGTTCGCTTGCTCTGTTGACATCAGTTTTACACTCAATGGGAGCTTGGCTTACTGAGCTGTTCATTCCCCTGGCTTCAGGCAAAAACGAGCAATTTAAAAAGTTATAAAATTACTGTGTCTGGGCCATTCCAAGAGGGTGGATAGTCAATTTGGATACTTGCAAAAATACCATTTCAGACTATTCCAGATTAGTTGTTCAGTGTTGCAAATGCCCATCATGTTGGAAATCATCCTATATGGGGCATCTATACTAACAGAAATAGAATTGCTAGACCTCCCTTTCTCTCTTGAATACTTATTGTCACTAGGTCTTGGGAACAACCTTCTGATCTTTTCATCTCTAATTCCATAATATGTTCTGCCTGGGCTCCCTCTCCTGTCTCTGTCTGGCTCTTACCCTCTCAGGAGGTGACCGCATTCTTGGTAAGACTTGCTCCGCATTGAAAGAAAGTGACAGTTCGAGGTACCGGTTATGTCCTGTCTCTGAATTGATAACTAAAAATGCCCTGGCTAAGCTTTCTCGGGCTTTTGCTCATAGGGTTGGTTTGTCCCTGTATATTCATCAATGTCCCTAGCACTGGGGAATGGGGATAAAGTTCACTCTTCCAGCCCATACTGTCCCTAGGGCTGTGGGGTTTTCTCAACCCCTAGGGCATGAGTTGGGCTGCAGGAAGTGGTACACTCCTGCCACAGAATCTCTGAAGGTTTTGCTTATTTTTTTCCTGGAAAGCTAAAAATGCTGGCTCTCAGATAATGTAGTAGTAGGAGTGGGGGAGGGCAAAACTTTTGATTTCTCTTCCCTCCTTAGGAGATGAAGAGCTAGGAGGAACTTGTCTACTTTTCTACCAGCGGCTTCCAGCAGATTAAGGAAGGAAACTCTAAGTTCCCATATTGTTGGGCTCACCAAGGGCCGGGGGGCTACCTCCACTTTTACCTGCCTGGGCTGTAAACAAGTAAAGAAATAAAACAGAGCATTAGATGAAGGCCACGTTATCACCATGACTACTGATAGAGGCCAGCTTGCGATATGTGACTGAAGGTCTGTTAGCCAAATGGGCTTATGACTACCGACCCCAGCTTTAAGCAGACGCAGCCCCAAGGTCACAGTACTCTAGACCTGGGCTGGCCTCCCCTGCGTGCTGGGACAGGCAGGAGAAGGTGAGTAATGCACAGTTCTAGCAGGCAGGCCCATCCCAGGAAGAGCTGGGGAAAAGCTGGGGAGTCACTCATGTCCTCGCCCCCCACCCTTCTCAGATCACTGCAAGTTATAGGGCAGAGGGAGAACAGGAAAATGAGTGTGTGTGTGTTGGTTGTGCACATGGCATACATGTGCTGTACCGATGGGCCTCAGCTCACTGAGGGGCAAAAAGAAGTGTCCATCAACACCTGTCAGGGATGCTCAGGCTGGCAGCCACTGGGACATCCAGAGTGACACCAGAGACCCCGCCCAGCCCCCTTCAGAGTGAGTGAACGCAGCGAACTGAGAAATGGGATGCCAGCAGGGAGACGATAAGTTTCTTCCCTTCCCGGGAAGAAGCATAGCAATGGGGTCAAAGGCATGAACCCCCGGGCCCCATGTAAATTCTGCTTTACTTCCCCTCAGCCTGTGACTTGGGTTCAGTAACCTCCCTGTGCTTTGGTTCCTACATCTGTAAAATCAGGCTGGTCTCAGGGTCTAGAGGTTCCCTGTGATAAATAAGATGCTCCCTTTCAGGCACTTAGCAGAGGGCTCAGGGAGGTATTATTAACACTCCGCCCTCGACTGTCACCGTGCCAGGGCCAAGGCGTGGTCCCCTGGTCCCCAGGTAGAACCCCTCCTGTGGGTCTGGCTGGCCGTTATTGCTCCAGCAGAGCTGTCTTCGACTTCTCGCTGAAGTCCAGTCACATGTCCAAAGACTAATTCTTCCTTACACAATTTGACTTCTCATCTTCCTAAAAAAGAGTAAAATTAGCAATATGAATAAGTTCATATTTATCGTTTATCAGTTTATTTGCCAGCAGTGAGGGGTACGCATCTTCCCACCAGACTCTCTTCTCTGTGCTGGAGCTTCCAGAGGGAACACGCACCCCTGCTCTCAAGGCTCTAACCTTCCATGGGGGTGTTTTTTATTACCATCCACACAGAGCTGTCACAAAGAATTAAAAAATTTCCCTTTTTGGTACCAACCCACCTGGGGTTTCAGTCCAACTCCCCCATTTAGTGGCTGGGTGATTTGGGGCAGGTGTCTTGACCTCACTGGGTCCCAATTTCCTAACAATGAATTTCCCCTACCTTATGAAGCTTAAATGAGTTGGAGTTTGTAAAGCCTTTAGAAGGTGTCTACCACCTATTCAGTGTTTTTCAGATGAACCAAGTTTAAGGTAGTTATTTCCATTTTGGAGTTTCTTGACTTTTTCTTTGATTCAGGGGGGAAAAAATGGATAAGTAGACATGTTATTGGCTAAAAGCATTAACACGAAATTTTAAAACCATAGCTGAGCTCACAATGCAGATTTATTTAACAACAAAAAAAATATTGCTGTTTCCACTTAGTAAAGGGCACGGGACTCTGAGAGCCTCTCATTTATAGCCGTCAATTCTGTACAGCTTGAATTCTAAATTAAGGCTTCAAGATGTCCTGTGTCAGTGCTGTGTCAAATGTTTCTCTCTGACCCTTTGAATTTAAAATTCTTTTTAAATTAAAAAATATATATAGATACATTATATATATATATATGAAGGGTCTCTGACAGGCACTTTTTGCAAAATGCTTTTAGTTGGTATTTTTTTTAAAGGATAACATATAACCACAACTATCTGGGGCTTTTTTTTTTTTTTTTTTTTTTTTGCAGTACGTGGGCCTCCCACCACTGCGGCCTCTCCCTTTGCGGAGCACAGGCTCCGGACGCACAGGCACAGCGGCCATGGCTCATGGGCCCAGCCGCTCCACGGCATGTGGGATCTTCCCGGACCGGGGCACGAACCCGCGTCCCCTGCATCGGCAGGCGGACTCTCAACCACTGTGCCACCAGGGAAGCCCTATCTGGGGCTTTTTTAAAAAGCAGCAGCAGCAGCTTGCCCCACTGCCAGCTAAAGTAAGGAGATGAACAGGTGGGGAGAGCCCTGCCAGGCTGATGGGGACAAAAGACTTTGTCACTCCCCTTGTGGCTGGGTGAATTCATCTCATCTGGCAGGATTATGAGTGTCATAACTGCTAAATACCCTTGTTCCTAGAGTGAAGTGTTTGTTCCCCTATAAAGAAACCCCAGGGGGACACCATTCACTGCTTCAGCTTCATCCTTGGGGTATTTAGGAGACTAATGGTGAGTCTTCCCCTAGAAGGTGCTTCCTTGGCACCCAGGGCCCGTGGGAGGGCCCTGGGACAGGGATCACAGCGGGGCTCTCTGACCTGCCTTCTCCTTTCTCTTCCTCGGCTCCCAGGAACAGCATCGCTGCCTCAGCCGTGTGCGTCTTCAACCTCAGCGCCATCTCGCAGGCCTTTAACGGGCCCTTCAAGTACCAGGAGAGCTCTCGGTCCGCCTGGCTACCGTATCCCAACCCTAACCCCAACTTCCAGGTAATTCTGGGGACAAAGGGGCACTCTTCCCATCATCCCCCCACATAGCATGCAGAGTCCTTGTGTAGACAGACTGGCTGGGGCGATTTAACCCCCCAGCGTGTGCACAGTACGGCTGTGAGCCACTGCCACCCAGCCCCTGGGGACAGCCCCACACTCGGCTTGCCTCATGTAAATAGACCGAGGCCTTTTGTCTACTGAGGCGCCTGACCGAAAAAGGGCCTTTTGTCAGCTGTGACGCCTGAGCCTGGACTGAAAAAGGCCAGCATAATGCAGCAGGTTGCGAATCCAAGCTTCAATTAGTACTAATGATGGTGGACTCTGTGTCCCCAGAAGCTCTGACTCCTAATGAATGATGCTGTAATGAATGGGGTCCAGGACACAGAGCAGTGGAGATGCACAAACAGAATTTGAGCTCTAATTGGGAATGTGGTGAGATTTCCCGTTGGGGTGAATGGGATGTGATGGGGCAGCTGTGAGGGAATAAAGAGCAGGTGGAGGCCATTCACGTACAAATCACAATATTGCCACATGTTCAAGCTGTAAGGGGCTCTGTACATCATCTCCTCCCATATACCCATGTTCAGAAGAAGCTGAAACACAAAGAGATGAAGCCATCTACTCATGTTTGGCCAGTCAGCAAGTGTATTAGTCAGCTCGGGCTGCCGTAACAAAATACCACAGATAGGAAATTTATTTTCTTGCAATTCTGGAGGCTAGAAGTCTGTGATCAAGGTTCTGACCAATTCACTTTCTGACGAGAGCTCCCTTCCTAGCTTGTAGATGGCCACCTTCTCACTGTGTCCTCACGTGGCTTTTTATCCTCAGTGAACATGGAGTGGCACTAATCCTATGAGATCAGGGGCCCACCGATATGACCTGATTTGACCTCAGCCACTTCCTTAGAGATTCCAACCCCAAATACAGACACCCTGAGGGTTAGGGTTTCAACATATGAATTTTGGGGAGACATTCATGCATAACAGCAGACTTCCTTTGAGGGCCTTTCTTCTGAGAAGAACTTTCATAGCATTGTCATCATCATCATCATGGGTGTAATTTTTAGAACCACCAAGTTCCAGACACTGGGCTCAGTGCTTCCCATGTATCTCGTCTCATTCTGGCAACTGTGCTATGATTGGTAACAGCTTCTCCCACAGACAGAGATGGGCATTCGTTGAACCTCAGAGCACATAATTAGGCCGAGGACACTGGCTGATTAGTGGCCGAGCTGGGCTCCCAACCCCAGTCCTCAGATACAAAGCCTCAACCTCCTCCGACTAGAGAAACTTTAGTTTTCGTAACTAATCAGTACTAGAACTGGGTCCTGTATCCAGGCCTCCAAATTCTGATGGGTTTGTTATCCCAACACATGAAACCTCTTTGGCTTTTGAGAAAACTGCTAGTAGGGAAAAGTTCAGTTACTTTACGCTTTACTTGGACTTTGGCAGGGACCATTCAATTCTAATTGTTTGGAGGTTTTTTTTCCTAAAGATCACAGGGCTGGCAATTGGGATGGGTTTACGTGTCCAGTTTACCACTTACTGCTTTACTTGGGAAAATTATTTAGCATCTCCCATCCTAATTTTCATCAATAAAATGAAGAAGGAGGACTATTTTAGGATTATTTATTTTTAGGTGCTTTGTCTTATTTTCTCTTCTCAGCAGCTCTATGAAGTGGGCATCATTAGCCCCATTTATAAGTCAGGAAACTGAGTGATCAGATTTATATTTGTTATCCAAGCCTCGCTACTAACCAAGTTCAGTACTAGACAAAGAAATTCGGGCAAGCTGACGGTTTAGTGGGAACCAAACATGAAGTAGTCACTTTTCCTGATATATACAGTTTATGTAATTATTAACTGAACACTGACTCTCTTTGCCCCATTGTTGAGTCTCTGCATCTTAACCCCACCTGTGTCCCCTGGATCTTGGGGTAATGTAACTGTTTAAAAAGGCCCTTTGTAAAAACCATGAAGGTGAAATATATCATTCCCTTTAAGAAAGTCGATTGTAAAATCCTGAAGTTTAAAAAAAAAAAATTAACAAAGATGCTCACCATACTTATAGGGTTCTTTTAATGTCTTGACGTTTCAATTGCAAATGTCTTCACGGTGAACAGTGACTTAACAAACTTTGTGATGCCTAACCGACTCCAGGCAGTGGAAAACTTTTAGCCCCTTTGTCTGGATATATTTGTAGCAAACAGCAAATCCCCTCATTTCCTGAGTCCATGGGCATCTGGTTTTATAATGCCAGGGCTTACTCACGTTTATGAGATGGGAGTTGGGCCATGCAGTGTGATGAATGAAACCTGCAGAATGTGGCATGCCTTTCAGGCAGGGAACTTGCTTACCTGAGTGTGTCTTCTTTGGGTAGAATTTAAGATTTGCACGGACTTAAAAGCTTTTGCACAGCAAAGGAAAACATAAACAAGATGAAAAGACAACCCTCAGAATGGGAGAAAGTATTTGAAAATGAAGCAACTGACAAAGGATTAATCTCCAAAATTTACAAGCAGCTCATGCAGCTCAATATCAAAAAAACAAACAACCCAATCCAAAAATGGACAGAAGACCTAAATAGACATTTCTCCAAAGAAGATATACAGATTGCCAAGAAACACATGAAAGGATGCTCAACATCACTAATCATTAGAGAAATGCAAATCAAAACTACAATGAGGTATCACCTCACACCAGTCAGAATGGCCATCATCAAAAAATCTACAAACAATAAATGCTGGAGAGGGTGTGGAGAAAAGGGAACCCTCTTGCACTGTTGGTGGGAATGTAAATTGATACAGCCACTCTGGAGAACAGTATGGAGGTTCCTTCAAAAACTAAAAATAGAACTACCATATGACCCAGCAATCCCACTACTGGGCATATACCCTGAGAAAACCATAATTCAAAAAGAGTCATGTACCACAATGTTCATTGCAGCTCTATTTACAATAGCCAGGACATGGAAGCAACCTAAGTGTCCATTGACAGATGAATGGATAAAGAAGATGTGGCACATATATACAATGGAATATTACTCAGCCATAAAAAGAAACAAAATTGAGTTATTTGTAGTGAGGTGGATGGACCTAGAGTGTGTTATACAGACTGAAGTACGTCAGAAAGAGAAAAATAAATACTGTATGTGAACACATATATATGGAATCTTAAAAAAAAATGGTTCTGAAGAACCTAGGTGCAGGACACGAATAAAGACACAGATGTAGAGAATGGACTTGAGGACACAGGGAGGGGTAAGGGTAAGCTGGGACGAAGTGAGAGATATAGATTATGGTGATCCTTTGTATAATTCCTGGTGCAAGTAGGTACCAAATGTTTTCTTTCGGTTTACCATACTTGATAACCGTGCTAACTTAAGGCAACCTTACTGACTTCCATGAGACCATCTAGGCAGGCATAGGGTGGGAATATGTTTTGAATTAAGGATCCCTCCACTAGTTGTGTATAATGGACCTTATGTTTGCAATAACCAACAGTTAGAAGTGGTTAGATTTTTTATTATTGTTTGCCTACTGACATTTGGAATTTTATGCAGTACTTATGTACTAGAAGTAGCTAATTAATTAGGAAAGCAGAAACATGATTCAGGTTCAGGAGGAAGAATGGGTTAGGAGAAACAATGCATAATTTTTCAAGATTTGGTACAGAAATCTCCACTGAAAACAATAACAAAACAAAACAAAGTACTATTTTTATCAGTTGCAATCTAGAAACCATGGTAGGTGGTGCTGTGAAAGGCTGCCCTGTTAGAGGCCTCAGTCCCCAAAGTAACCCAGGCTCTGAGCCCTCACTAGGAAAAGCATCAGTCACTTCCCGAAAACATTATTCAGATCCAGTGGCACACCTGCAGTAGGACAGACTCTGGTGGTTTTGATTACCACCAATCAAAAGTGATGGAGCCAAAATGGAAAACAGACCCTCAAAAGTGGTCAGGCAGGTGAGGAGGGCTCTGCTGGAGGACCAGATGGAGGAACTTGGTCAAGCCATCAGCACCCTTTGGTACAGGATACATGTTTGCAGCAAGACGGGAGGAAGGGTACCATCAAAATCAGGCCCTCTTAGCATGAGGCTAGGTGATCGTGGACTTGCCCACCAAGGGTTGGCAAGCTAGGATGAGGATGGTTCTGTCATCCCTGAAAAAAATAAACAAGAGTGCAAGTATTATTGTATTAAGAATTAGTACAAGTATTGATCTTATTACTTTCAGAGGTGTTAGCAAGACAACCGTTATGGGTGGTAAGCCACAGGAGGATGATGGCTGTGTTCTTACTATTTTTATTGTTTTCCTCTTGCACAGAGTACCCGGGGTGTCGCACAGACACTGCGGGAGCCCGATGTATAAGGCGCAGTGAGAACATTTGCAGCCCATTAGAGAGCTAAGTGGGTTCCTTATGATCCAATAAATATACGCTATAAATTTAAATAGCTTTCAAAATGTTTGAAAAAGAATCCTTGGGTGAGATATTCATTATAGACTGGCAAAAGAAACGAGGACACTGTGGAGTACAGAGTATAGTTTAAAACCAGTTCTTGGCTAAAGATTTTGTCAGTCGGTTCCAACTTGTGGGTTTTTTTCCCACGCCACCAAGCAATTCTCCAACACCAACTGGGTGTCCAACAAGTCAACTCAATTCCGACACTGTTCACCCAGAGATAGCATCAGATATGACAGGTGGAGGGCTCAGTCCTGCAAGACTCTCCCCTTGAGCCCCACTTCAGATGCTATTCTGAAGTCCGGGTAGTCACCCATGCTTCTGACCTGTGGGCTACAGGTGGGACATTCCAAGGTCCGTTAGGCTCATTAATTGGCTAGAGAGGCTCACAGAACTCAAAACATTGTACTTACTACATCACTGGTTTATTATAAAGGACACAACTCAGGAAGAGCCAGATGGAAGAGATTCACAGGGCAAGTAGGGCAAGGTATGGGGAAAGGGCATGGAGCTCTTTCTGAGGTGGGTACGCTCCCTGAACCTCCTCTTGTTCACCAACCCGGAAGCTCTGAGAGCTCCATCCTTTGGGGTTTTTATGGAGGCTTCCCTATAGGCGTGATTGATTAAATCATTTGGTCATTGGTGATGGATTCAACCTCCAGCACCTTTCTCCTTCCTGGAGGTCAGGGTGGTGGGACTGAAGGTTCCAACCCTCTAATCACATGGTTGGGTCCGCTGAGGACTAGCCCCCATCATTAGGTGAGGTCCAAAAGTCACCTTATTAACATAACAAAAGACACCTGTATTGCTCTCATCACTTAGGAAATTTCAAGGGAGTTAGGAGCTCTGTGACAGAACAGGGACAAAGGCCACATATATATTTCTTATTATAAATCACAATATCATAGTGACAATTCAGGTTGCTGATTTAAGTAAGATAAAGCATCGTGAAAACGACAAGGAACAGTCGGGGTTCCTGCTCTGAAGCCTCAGCCCACACAGGCCTCTGCGTCACTTAGGTCCCCAGGTTCTTCAAGAGCAGCCAGAGGTCCTCAGGTTTATATTATGTCTCCTGATTTTTCTGATGCCAATTTTTTACACTGTGCATAGAAAACAAAACCTGCATGCAAAACTTCACCCAGCAGTCAGATTGCTCGTTGCTACCCGTGACTTAAGTATTGCTGCTGATTTCAGGAATAGAAAACCACCAAACACTGTCACTCAGAACTAGAACTCACCTGGATAGACTTCAGAGCATTTTGTAACACATTTGTCAACAGGCACTGTCTCTGTCCTCCAAGTGTTACTGTTAAATACGTTAATTATGGAAAATCTCCTGGCACGCCCCCCTGCCCCAATGCAACTGCTATGTATTCACCCACTGGTTCCTTCCTCCCTTTATTTATTCATTCATTCCCTCGGGCCCCTGCAGCTCAATGGCCCATAGAATTGCTGCCCTGCTACTAGACGGACGCATTGACCATTTACCATTGTTTGAATGGCTTCTCTGTGCCAGGCACACGGCCTTGTCCCTTGGCACTTACAGACACTTTCAATTAACTTACAAATGCTCTCCACTGATAGTCTCAGTTGGCCTCACAGCAGCCCTGTGAAGTGAGCAGAGGAAGTGTTTTTCTAGCCACCTTATAGGTAAAGAGGCAGAGGCTGAGAGGCAGGGCCTCACCTGAGACCACAGAGCTGTACCCTTCACCTTCACCTGACCATCCCACCACCTGGTACCTGGGGCCCCCTGCAAGGGTGTGACATTCAACTAAGCATTGGACCAGTCTTGGAATCCATTTTGCTCCAAGATACTTTAATTCTAAATCAGCCTATCATTTTATGGCATGTAGGATATTTTATCAAGTGCTACAAAAATACCGTCTATTCTTAAAAAGCCATGTCCATCTTATACTTTTGCACCTCTAACCTATTATAAAACCAAGTATTAGAAATGACATGTTATAAAGGTAGTTTCAGATGGTATGAACAGGGAAATTCATTTCCATCAAACCTACTTCTATGGAGTTCTGCCAAGGATCAGCCTTTCTTGGAACCACAATTTAAAGTTTATGAAAGAAATGAGAAAGCTTGGTGATAATTTTCTGATTCTATGTTCTGCCCCAGGAAAGCTTTGCTTGCTTTCCTACTCCTCTTTTAACCTCATCCTTGCCCAGGACCATCCTACGTAACACCTGCCAGCCTTTTCGCAGCACAGCTCTGAGTTTAATTCTCAGCAATTTCCAGGCCTAATTTTTTTTTTCCCTGTGTATCACAGATTCCTCTTTGTGGTATTTCTTCTACCTGAGAATCTTCTTCCTTCCTTCCTATTTCCTTCTGATTTCTTCCTTTACACTCCTCTCTGCCCATCTCCCTTCCTTCCTCACTTCCTTTATCTTACTCCCCTCTCTTCTTGAAAATTCATCACTGTTGGGGAGAAAGCAAGTTTCCTCTGCCCTTCTAGATTCTTCTGACCAGTCTAAGAATTAAATTGACATGACACAGATTAACAGGAGAAAATTCAACAAAAGTTTAATAACATGTATACATGGGAGGGACCCAGGAAAACTGAGTAACTCACCCAAGTGGCCGAAACCCTCATCTTAAATACCATCTTTAGCTAAAGATGAAAGAGCATGTTGAGGGTAGTGGTTTGAGACTTCAAAGGGGAGGAAAGCAATTGACCTGGAGATAGAAAAGCAAATCCTTCGTAGATAAGTGTTTGCTGGGCCTACAGAGACAATGGGACCCCGAGTGGGCTCTGATCTCTACGCCCTGCTGAGTTTCTCCCACCACACTTAGCCCATATTCTTTGCTGATATCTCTGGAGATAGCTCTATTCCAGGAACAGGCCCTCCATCTAAATTTTTTAGGCCTTTAGGGGGAAGGTCAAAGTTTCTTCCTGAGTCTATTGGGCCTTCGTTGTTTTCAGCTCGAAATAATCCACACGCCAGAAAGACATTTTGGGGTGGGAAGTTTTGCTCCCCTGCCCCATGTTTTTTCTCGGATGCTCAACTCTATGTGAATTTCTTGCTTCTTCTAGCTCAGAATATGGGCACAAAGCAATAAGGCCAGCACAGTGTTTTGTAGCCCATGTTAAAGACAGTAGAACAATATCACATAGTTTACAGATTAAAATGACCTAATTCTATCTCGGTGGAATCCATGTCTTGCTTATAAACCCGCCATTCCAAGGAAAACTAGCAAATCTACGTGATGCATGTGATTGCTGTGTTTTCCACCTGGGAACCTGATTTGTGTGACAGATTGAGTAGTGTGCACTTAGCCAGACAGCTCCCAAGGGACTCCACATGTGATGCGGAGATTTTCTGTATATGCTGTTAGAATTGAAGTTAGCAACGACTTCTACTCCATTTTCTTCAAGCTTCTGATCATTCATTTATTTTTCTTTAACTTTTTATTTTATATTGGAGTGTAGTTGGCTAACAATGTTGTGATAGTTTCAGGTGTACAGCAAAGTGATTCAGTTAAACATACACACGTATCTATTCTTTTTCAAATTCTTTTCCCATTTAGGTTGTTATACAACGTTGAGCAGAGTTCCCTGTGCTATCCAGTAGGTCCTTGTTAGTTATCCATTTAAAATATAACAGTGTATACATGTCAGTCACAAACTCCCTGACTATCCCTCCCCCCTCCCATCCCCCCCCAGGTAGCCATAAGTTGGTTCTCTAAGTCTGTGAGTCTGTTTTGTAGATAAGTTCATTTGTTCTCATCGTTCATTTATGATGAGAATGGAGAGACTCCCCAAATATAACAAGTTCACACCTAAAACGGGAGGAACACCAAGGATGGGGACTTTGGCGGAAATGGAGAAGGGAGCACATTGGCCCACTCAGGTTTTCAGATTCCCAGTCGCCCTCCAGCTGGGGTGGCTGGTTCCAGTAACCGCATGTCTTCTTCTGCAGTGCGGCACCATGGACCAGGGCCTGTACGTGAACCTGACGGAAAGGAACCTGCAGGATGCTCAGAAGTTCATCCTGATGCATGAGGTGGTACAACCAGTGACTGCAGTGCCCTCCTTCATGGAGGACAACAGCCGCTTTTCCCACGTGGCCGTCGACCTGGTGCAGGGCAGGGACGCACTCATCCACATCATTTATTTGGCCACAGGTAGGAGCTCGCCCTCCTCTGAGGAAATTTCTATCATCTCCTGATTTTGTGTTTTAAATTCTAAACATGAGATCTCAGTGTCAAGCTTTGGGCCTGTCTTCTTTCCTCCAAGCCGCAAAGTCCAGGATGCTTCCTTATCTTCGTCATCCTCCGAAAATAATCTCATCATTTTTTTTCACTGTGTTAGTTATAATTTTTATTGGAAAACCAATGCCTGATTTCTTTCTTTCAATTTCATTGAAGTATAGTTGATTTACAATGTTGTGTTAATTTCTGCTATGCAGCAAAGGGATTCAGTTATATATGTGTGTGTGTATCCTTCTTTGTGTTCTATTACATTATGGTTTATCACAGGGTATTGAATGTAGTTCCTGGTGCTATACAGTAAGACCTTGTTGTTTATCCATAATATGTATACTATTTTGCATCTGCTAATCCCAAACTCCTAATCCTTCCCTCCTTCAGCCCACCCTCCCCCTTGGCAACCACAAGTCTGTTCTCTCTGTCTGTGAGCTGGTTTCTGTTTCATAGATAAGTTCATTTGTGTCGTGTTTTAGATTCCACATATAAGTAATATATGGTATTTGTCTTTCTCTTTCTGACTTACTCTGCTTAGTATCATAATCTCTAGGTCCATCCATGTTGCTGCAAATGGCATTATTGCACTCTTTTTTATGGTTGGGTAATATTCCATTGTATATATATATATATATATATATATATATATATATATATATATATAATCATATCTTTATCCATTCATCTGTTGATGGACAGGACGTTTCCAGGTCTTGGCTATTGTAAATACTGATTTCTTAACTAGTATTTCTCAACTACTCATAAAATACATCTTTTCTTGGAAAGACCATTTTAATTCAGATAATTTAAGACAGTGAAATTTGTTAGAGGACATTGTCTGGTGAAATGTTATCCTGAGATTGTCATATGATTTCCAATTGGTTTACAAACAGTGCTCACAGCAATATATTCCTGTTGTAGGATTGTAGGTAGAAGCATTCTGAAGAATATGTTTGGGGGCATAAATAAGAAAATATTTTACAGAAAACACAGGCAACAATGCTTATCAAATTATCAGTGACAACTAGACCTCTTCGGTTTCCACAGTAACTCACCTGTTGAAGGCAGGTTCCATCTCTGTTCATTACGTGAAGAGTGCTGGGTGCCCTAGGCTGGCCTCATGGCTGGGTCTTAGTTTTACAAACTTGCCCAGCTCTTTCTTGCTTCAGGTCCTCCTGTATAGAAAATCTCGCTTTGTGAAGTCCACCCCATCCCTACATCCTCTGTCCAGTGTTTTGTATAGTTGGCACTTTTTCATAGAACACAGTCTCCACTGTTGTTGTTAATAATATCTTATATCCATCAGTTGGTTAATTTTATTTACAAAGTTGCTAAGATTTACTGAGCTTTTACTATCTTGCGGTTCATCTGAGTGCTGATGAAGTGAGATGGTGAGCCGACCAGCAGCATCTTTCTCTATATTCCTGCGGGGACAGCACATAACGAACCAACCACTAAGGAAATCGTGAGAAGTGATGCCAAGCTTATGCAGTGGGTGTGGCTAAAGTGATGTGGTAGGAGAGCCAGGAAGGCTCCTGTGCTTGGCCGATGAGGTTAAGCTGAGAGCTGACCAAGGAGGAAGAGCTGGGTTTGCACAAGGAGGGACACAGCCAAAGAGCCAGATGCAGCAGTGGTCAGCTGTGGCCGGTGCTGCTGTGTGGTCAACTCAGCTAAGGACAGAGATGTGACCATTGCATCACCAAAGGAGGCCACTGGTGCCTCTAAAGGTCAGTCTGAGGGAGGAGTGGGGGACAGGGAGGGAGCATGGAGGAGGTTAGGGGGAAACAGCTACCATGAGCAAGGCTTCCGGAAGCTATTCAGTGAAGGCCTGTAGAAGATTGATGTGTTAGCCTGAGGGGATGGGACCTCAAGTCTGTTTTAAGAGCAGATAAGGAATTACCATCACAGTGTCTATCTTGCTCACCAGAGTCTAAGAAGGAACCATGACCCTTTTTCTGCTATTTTCATCTTAATTCCCCCATAGGGTGTGGTAGCTTGAGGAATGAATGAAATGGACCTTTCCAAAATTTTCCTATTTTATTTTCTCCCATAGATGTTCTGGTTGATGCCACAGAGAATAGAGTCCTCTTGGAAATCTAGGAGGCTGTTGAGTTCCTCATCAGTACTTGGAGGAGGGATGGTGAAGGGAGATGGGCTGGTCCTGAGCAGGCCTGGGTAGGTCAGCACAGAGCAGCCTATGACCTCAACTTGAGAAACCTGACCTAGTCCACAACCAAGACCATGGGAAGGTCATGTTTGTTTGCATTGTACTTATTGGTTTGTAGATGGCCATCTTCTTGCTGTGTCCTCACTTGGTGGAGAGAGAGATCATCTCTCTCCTGTCTCTTCTTATAAGGGCACTAATCCCATCATGGGGCTCCACCCTCATGACCTAATTACCTCCTAAAGGCCCCACCTCCAAATATCATTGCTTTGAAGATTAGGGCTTCAGTGTGAATTTTGGACCTCTCACATTCAGTCCATAGCAATGAGCAACTTGTTCTGTCAACTTAAAACATGGCCACTGGGATAAAATATTTGAGGATTTTTATTACAAACAACATGTTTGAACAGAATCTAAATCAAATTCCAACAGAACAACTTAGATAAATTACCAATCTGAGATTAAATTATAGTCAGCATCTGTGACTTTTTAAACAGTACAGCCTTCTAGAAACTTGCTTGCTCAAGTCTGTTTTGAATGATCTCATGATTGGGCTGCTGCTCTTCCCCTCCCCCTCTGGTTCCCATCCCCTCCCACGCTAAAGCTAGGGGATTAGCTCAGCCTGAAGTAGCTATGGTTACCCCAGGCTGTCTGATCCTGGCTCCAGGTTTGCAGTTCTCATTCTGATAATGATAGACTGCAAGCCACTCAGCAAATATGTCCTACAGAGGTTCACTTTTTTGTTCTGCAGACCTGATTTGTTGCTTTTGTTTTAATCTGCTGCCTGTTTGTAAATTCAGTCATGGCATAGCAAGATGTACTAACAGCAATCACAGGATGGGATTATGGAGAACGATGCCATACATAGAACTCTTCTGCAGTTTCCATGACTGACTAATCAGGTTGTTTGTTAAACTCAAGGGGAAGGGGTTTTGCAGTGGGTGAAGACCCCTTCCAGCAGGGAAATAACCATGGATACATGGGGTCCCAAAGAGAGCCCTGCTCCCAACCACATGAAGGGACTCAGGGCAGACATGCAGAGTTCTCCTAGCATCTGGATACATAGATGTTATTTGTTTAGACTAGTTTGATGATTCTAACTTTAGGACCTCTTAAAGTACAAATTTCATGTCTCAACCAAGTTCTGGATCTTTTCATTTATCTCTTATAGCACTGATGAATACATTTTGAAGGTGATCTCTTCTTTTACAAGTTTTAGTTCAGAATAAAATTTAGCTTTAAAGGATGTCATTTTTAATGGTCCAGCAAATAGCTTTCTTCTTTATTTCCAAGGCACTGAAATGTAAAAATGGAATATTAGAAAGAATATCCAAAAACGCCAGTCTGTTTTAACTAAACCAGCTAAGAGCTGAACAGCTCCTAACAAGTAGGGATGACAAAGATTACAGAACTTGACCTTTAAAATTCAGAAGGCTGATGTTTATGTGGCCTTTTATTTATATCTTGCCCAAGTAGTTTACATCAAGTCAAACCTTGGATGCATTTGATGATAAACTGCGTCCACATGCTGTACCTCATTCAGGAATTAATAAGTGCTCAGCCGACAGAGCATGAGGGTAACATTCACAACCAGTGAATGTGAAGATGGAATACTTCCTAACTTGCTAATAAAATCAGTTTGATATCTTGGGTTTGGGAATCAGGTTTTGTGATAACTTATTGTCTCTCACCTGGAGTTTACTTGAATAAGCACAAATTGGAGAACTCCTATCCATGGCCATTTGAAAGCTGGTTAATTTTATTTGTCAGTATTATCTAAAAATTGAAGTGAAAAAAACTCTGTTCATTGTGCAGTTCACTTTGCTTCTTGCAGCTTGAATGGCATTTCCCTGCTGGCCACCAGGGAAGGCTGTTTGACTCAGGGGCCACCCCCCTGAGTCAAACAGCCTTTCCCGGACCCCTTCTGGGTCTGTTTTCGTGCTACTCCCCTCTCTCTCCTGTTGGAAATCCGGCCGCGGTTAGGCACATTATCTGGGCCATGACTGTGCTGATATTTTGTAAGTTATTCCTTTGAAGGTCTTCTCAGAGCAGGAGACAAAATGGCAATGGTAACTCCTTTAGGATATTTATGACTGGAGATCTATACGTGGCTGTGTCTTATATCCAAACAGCTGCTCAGTGCCTCTCTACAAAGATAAAATTAGCATCATGTTGACCATCCGCGTATTCTGGGAATCTTGATTTGCGGAGCCCTGTCTCTTCTGGCACCTCTCCCTCTGTGATAGTCCTTTGCCAGCTCCACGTGTTTTCTCTGCCCCTCACCTATGGCTGTTGCTCTGCCCTTAGCTATGGTTGTTCTAATTCTATGGTATCTCCCTGGAAATACCATTCAGTTTCAGAGTTTCTACTGTCCTCTCTAGGGTGAAATATGTTACTTTATTTTCACTTGATCTCAATTCCAGTGTGTCTACCAATCTGCCCCTTCTCCCATATGCTTTCTTGTTTTTGTTCAGGTACCACGTTCTATAGTTTTGAACCCTCTGCCACCTCTGCTAACCATTTATTTTATTTTTCCGTAATTGTTTGTTCCCTTAACTCAAACCCTTCTTATTTCTGGAGCGCTATTTTAGACCAGTGTCTGTTCAACGGGGGCATAGCTAAGACTCACCTCGAGGGCATGAGAAATGTGGGTTCCTGAGCGCAACCCATGAGATTCTGATTCAGCACAGAGAGTAGGGTGTTTCTAACAGGATCCCAGATCAACTCAATGCTGGGCATTTCTGGTCCATATTTAAGT